CTTTATAAAACATAAAAATTAAATACTGGCAATTCATGTAAGAAAAAAATATTACTTCAACAACAGGGTTAATATTTCAATGGTTTTTAAATAAACTTATTGATGAAGTTTTTGAATAGAAAAGTATTTGTTAACTGTTTTTTTTTAATTTTAGGGCCCTTGAACGACATTTTTATTGTTCTTAGCACTTAATTTAATTCATAAAAAAATCAAACCAGAACATTTTAAGTTGTATTTAATAAATAATATTGGTATTTTTTTAAATGCAATATAATAAATGGATTCATCAAAAGCTGTCAAAAATAAAGTTAGTTACAAACCATTCAGGTAATAAAATATGTATTTAAAAGTCATGTAATAAGAACTGTAACAGTTGGTAAATACATCCTGTTTCTATGATATTCATTCGAGATTTATTTAATGGTTGTTTGATCGTAAGAATATCAATTAATCGGTAGTGTCACTTCCCACACAATATTTTTAATATTAATATTATTATTATTATCATATAATTAAAAATATAGTAATTTACTTTAAATTTAATCGAGAATTATGACTTACAAGTACAGGTACTTTCTAAAAGATGGCGTTCTATACCTGTTAACACATGGATTTAAAATAATACTTTTTAAACGAATAATTTCCCAAAAAATTAGAAACTTGATTATTTAAGCGAATATTATAATATTGCATGCAAATTTTTGTTCATAAAATTAGCCAATTATGAAAGTTGTATTTTATAATAAAAATGAGTATGAAAATATATAATATAACCCACAGACATGTCTGTGATATACCCTAACTTTAAACAGACAAGCTTCGATCGTTTACCTCGAATTTGACCCAGAATTTTTAGATTTTTTAAAACATATTGCTTATTGCGTAAGATTAAAGAATAAGTGGTTAGATTTATTGAATCATTTATCTGTTCTCATTTTTTAATTAATGAATTACTATTTTAAAACTTATTATAATTAGGATCAATTTATTTTTATAACGTAGGTAAATTTAAAAACAATTATATCTAATGTTACTTTTTCCAATGACACTGAAGGTTTTTTGCATATTTAATTAATTTTAACTAACTTTTAACCTTTATAATAATTTTCTTATCCATAATTTAATACATGGGAGTGTCTTCAATGCGTCCGACTGTCAGACGAATAATTATTTTTTATTAGTTCGATAATCGGATGTTACTTTTTATTTGTCTAATCAAATTTAGGTTTATTTTGTTAAATTTAAGAAAATTTAACTTAAATTGGGTTGATTTGGGTGTGCGTGAGATTTGTTAACAAAGTTAAAGTAAAAAGAATTAATTAAGTTTAATGTTCGAATTTCTAGAGTTTCATTTTACCAACACCTTTGAAGATATCTAACCTCACTTTATACTTTTAATAATAGTTATTATAATTTTTAGTACGCTTTATGTATCGTTTAACAAATGAAACTGTACCTTACAGATAAAATGTTGTATGTCATTCGGTTGAGACCTGTTTTTTTGTGCTTTGATCAAACTTTGAGCTTAGCACAAAAAGACTCACTTTTCAGCCTTATCACATAAATAACTATAAGCTTCAATTAAAAACCTCCTGGGCTATATAAATCAATTGAACAAATCGGCTAAAGTTGTTTACAACCTAGTCTTTAAAAACTTAATTTGACTAATCAAAGATTTCAACCACTCACTAATTTAATCTTACTTAGTAATTATTATAAATGTACATTCATTTTATGTACCTGTTTTTAGTAAAAGTTGTTTTCTTTTTTATTTTCTTTGGTTTTTATCAATTTTTACCATAATTTATATCTATTTGGTACAAAAAATGATAAAATGCAAGATTTCATTACATTACATTACATTTTACTAAATTATTATGTTAAAGCAATGTTGAAGCAATTATTATGTTTATTGTATTTTAATTTACAACTAATACTTGTCCTTATCCTCGTTTAATTATGTTTTCAACGGTTTTAAATTACCTCACAAACCAACAAAAAATTACATACTTGTTTGACGTGGGATGTCATAAAAATATGTTTCTAAAAAATTGCACTGGTATTTGTTATCAAAAAGAGAAAGTGTTTGAAAGTGAGTCACAAGGCTGGCCATACATTTTAATTAATGATTATGATAATGCGGATCTTTTGCAAATTTCGGTAATTAATATCAAATGTTAATGTTGTACATGGCAATTAGTCAATATCTGTAATAATATACTAACAACTACAGCTGTATTTTATTTTTTCTACTTTCCTTTAAAACGCCCATTATCGTACATGTTTCCATGACACTAAGTGACCTTAAATATACATTGACAAGTAGTGGCTTTATGGCGTTTTAGTCACGACCAGGTTTTTAGTCACGGTTTAAAGTTAGTTGACAGTTGTAAAATGACATCCAATCGTTAAAATAAATAAATGTAATAATGTAATTATTTTATTATCTCAATTTAAAAATACAAATTGTTTCTTAACGCCATATTTGAAAAGTTTATATGAACATTGTACCGACCTTTTAGTTTCGCCAGCAGTAAACAAGATTAAACTTAAGTTCACCGTGGACTGCCCATAAAACATTTTCTTCACTTTTACTGTGAAAAACTGTTGTTAGTCCATTTTTAAGGGAAATATTTTGATATACACATACAAATTTTACATTTTCACCGGCTCTCCAGTAATACAGATTCCCTAAATATAAATATTGTATTTAAATCATTTTAAAAAAATAATAAGTATTTGTCGTAGAAAACATAGAGTATTCAACTCGTTTATAAACTTTTCTCTACACTCATTTAATTAAACACTCGCTTGTAAGCTTGCTCGTGCCTAATTGAAATTCGTGACTAAAATGGCAATTTTATGTGGCATCTGACAGCTGTTAAATTTCGCCCACCGGTTAATTTAAGAAATAAAATGGGTGTTTAATAAATTATATAGGAGAAAGAACAATTTTAAATTGGCAATTTGGCAAATACAAATTTACATATCTGTGTCATAACTTTTATTTATAGACATAATGCCAATAATTTAAATATTATATTACAAAATGAAAGTTCTTTTTAAATTAAATATATAAATCACAAAAATAAAATACTAATTTACAGTGGCTGCTCGTGGTCAGTAAAAGTAAGGGGGCTTTTAAAAACTATTCTTAAAGTTTGTGGCATCTTAAAAAAATATTTTAAATAAATTTTATGCAAAACAGACTAAAAAAAACTAAAAATTGTTGTTGGATTATGCCAATTATTTAATGATTAACCCCCCAGACTTTTTTATATTTATGGTACAGAATCACTAAAAGCTGCCAAATTAAATCTTAACTGCACTACTACATCAAAATCAAGTAAAAACGTTCATATAATCTTTTCAAATATTGGCTTAAGAAACTATTTAATACTTTTGTATTGAGATAATAAAATAATTAGTTACTAACTTCAGCCTGAAACTAAAGCGCCATAAAGCCACAACCAATGTGTATTTAAAAGGCCACTTAGTGTCATGGAAAAATGTTTTAAAGGTGGGGATAGAAAAAGTAATTTTAGAATCATGTATAATTTTAATAATTATAGTAAAAATTTTGACCAAAAGGTTTTGATAGAAATTTGGTCAATAAAAAATAGGCTGATTAAGAATGAAAGAAGTACAATTATACTTTAGACCATTTCAATTGAACATAGAAAGCATCTTCTAATAATTATAAAGATTAAATAAAGTAATTAACTACTTAAACGGCTAGAAAAGTAGTGGTGTTAACTGGGTATATGCAGGATGATGATGATGATAATGATGATTCTTAATGTTAATGATTTTTCACTTTGGACTTGATTTTTTAAATGTTGGATAAATTTTAACTTTTATAATACCAAATTTCATTAAAAACGCAGTTGGTTGAAATGTTGGGGACCGTTTTTTATTTGTTATTGGCTTTATATTTGTTGCTTAAAGATTTTATTTAAGAAAATAACTTTTTTCAATATTAAAATTAAAAACGTCTGCCCATTTTTTAATAATACAGGGTGCACCAAGTATACTTTAGAGCTACAAGGTTGGTTTATTCAAATATAATTCAAAAATTGGAAAAAAATTAGCGGGTCTTAAATAATTTGAAAAAAAAACTCGAAATCTGTCAAAACTAGAAGTCTTTCTAAGTTCGTTCTTTTGAATTATAAAAAACATGTAAACCTACACATTTATCTACGTTTTCATCCAATTTGTGATTCTTTTACTAGACTTTGAGTTACCCCCACCATCTTTGTTTTTCCTATGGTATTAAAATTTTACATTGTTAGATAAACAACATAAGTTAGGCAACTATAGAAACAAAAAATGGCGATGGTAACTCAAAATATACATGGTAGCAAAAAAATTGTATAAAAATTAAGATTAATGTGTAATTTTTTACAAAATTCCCATGAATAATGTTATAAGAAATTTTGGTAATGAAAGATTTTTGTATTTTTTTAAATATTTTGAGAACCGCTGGCTTTTTTATAATTTATAAATGTTGTTTGATAGCAACTTTTTTCTGAATAAACCGATCTTCTAGAAATAAATAAAAAATACCTATATAAGGATACATTAATGCACCCTGTATAAATATACATTTGAATGTTATCACTATAACTGCAATGCTCTATTTTGCAACTTACTTTTTTTGGACTCTTTTAAATACTACTGTTGGACTTTTATAAATAAGTATAGTCCAATGCTAAACAAGTAGTTAAGGTATTTTTTTGTAGTCCATTCATTTAAAGTTATTAACTGTATGCGACAAAGTAAATGTTACGATTGTAACACGAGCTAGCATTGAACTTTGTACCAAGTTTCCCCCTCCAAAAATTATCCTATTAAAATGCATAATAGTTTACAAGTATACACAAAATTAACAAACCTGTTGTAGGCTTCTACACAAAGGAAACGTTGGAATCAAAAAACTAATAAAATTTCCATAATCTCTTACATAATAATAACTTGTTAATTTAGAAAACAAAACTTACTTTCTCCGTGGGACAATAAATTTTTCAACAAACTTCACACTTTCGCGTATTTCAGTGCCGTTTTTTCGGCGTTCTAACAATACCACGGTAAACTTGAGTACGTTAGTAGGAATGCCAGCGCGTGGAATCACTGAAAGTAAGAAATCATCGAGGTGCAGGGACACTGCCGACTTTTCAATGTCGTACGATGCTCGATGATAGCACCAAACTTTCTTCTTTTGTTTTCAGCGAATCGAGTAGGTGTGTGGGTCATTTCATACCAAATCGCGTTAGGAAGTTACTTAATATTTTATATTTACATTTAACACGAAAAACATAAAATTTCGTTATTTGTATAAATGTGACTGATTTTTTTTGAATATAATTATGACGCTATGAGCTGTTCCATCTTGTTTCGCGCCTACTAAAATCACAAAGTTAGGCAACCAACTGCACAGACTTTAACGACCTCCATTTTTATGTTTTTTTACAATTAATGTGCTTCGGGTTTGTGCTGTTTATACAGATTAATTATCGTTTTAAACGTTACAAAGGCACTTTTGAGCCTTAAAAGAGGCCTTAAAGTTCTTAGCGCAACCATTTTACTCAAATATCAATTTTAAGGTTAATTTGTGGGTATGGTAAATTAACCTTAAAATTTAAAACTATTACACTGTAGGTAAATTTTCAACTCTTGAAATATCACAGCTAAACGCTCGGACACGTAATAGTATATTATGTATCAAGTTTGATAAACGCCATTTTATACACGAATTTAATTTAGGCACGAGCGAGCTTGCGAGCGAGTGCATAATTTAATAAGTGTGTAGAAAAGTTTATAAACGAGGTGCATACTATACTTTTTCTACGACAAATACTTATTATTATCTTAAAATGATTTAATTCAAAAATTTGTATAGAGCGCCATCTATGAAACAATAGGGAAAGCTGTGTGTCACCGTCAAATGTCAAATTTTTGTATTTTATACACAGATTATAAATCTAAATGTATTTCTTGAAAATTGACAGTTTTTCACAGTGAAAGTAAAGAAAATGTTTTATGAGCACTTTACAGTGAAGTCCGTGCCCGAATTTAAGTTATAGTTTACTGTCGGTGAAATTAAAAGGTCAGTACAATGTTCATATAAACTTTTCAAATATTGGCGTTAAGAAACTATTTAATACTTTTGTATTTTTATATTGAGATAATAATTTTCACATTTAGTATTATTTTACAAGAAAGGCACTTTATTTTAACGATTTTATGACATTTGACAACTAACTTAAAACTAACTTCAGCCCGTGACTAAATTCCTGTTGCTAACTTCAGCCCGTGACTAAAGCGCCTAAAGACACAACTTGTCAATGTGTATTTAAAAGGTCACTTAGTGTCATGGAAACATGTACGATAAAGGGCGTTTGAAAGGTGGGAGTTGAAAAACATAATTTTTAGTCGTAGATTCCAAATCCGTGATCGGTTTAGCTGTATCAGGTCTAAAAAAGTTCCTATGCTTTTTATTTCAATAAACATAATATCCTCAATAATACCTACTCAATAAAAAAAAATTAGCAAAAAAACATTTTGAATTTCCTAAATTATCTATAAAAAACTTCAAGGGACCCCTGTTCCTTTTGATCAATTAACATCAAATTTTCTAATAATTTGGTTTTTTTTTAATTTGGAACTAATGTGTGGATCCAGCCAAATAAATTTTTTTCTAAATTTATACAGGGTGTTTAAATTTATACAGGGTGTTTTCAATATCTTTTAATTTTGACCTGATAAATCTAAACCAAGCACAGATTTGTAATCTACGACCAAAAATTAAGTTTACGTGTCCGAGCGTTTAGCTGTGATGTTTTCACCTTCCTACAGTGTTATTGGTCTGTATAAACAGCACAAACCCAACGCACAAGTATTGTAAAGAATATAAAAGTTGCCGCTGTTTAAGTCTGTGCAGTGGGTTGCATAGCGTGATTTTTAGTATGCGCGAAATAAGATAGAACAGACCTTGTTGTGTGGATTGTGGCTTAAGGGATTTTTAAATACACATTCACAAACTGTAACTGTATGCCGTCAAATGTTATACAATCTTTAAAATAAAGATACCATAGTCGCGACCAAATCTTTATGGGTGAAAGTCATCTATGCGATATAATGTCAGCATTACCAACTTTAAATTCTAAACTTACTGCCGTTAAATTTGCTTTTTTAAGACGTAATTCTGATGTGTTTTTTTATTCCTTTCCTTTTCCTGTTTTAAAAAGTTTTTTTAACAAAATTTTGAAAAAAAAACCAATTACTTGGTAATTTTTGTGTTTGCCAGTTGGTAAAAGCTTAAGGCTGGTGCGCACCGTTCAATATTATTGATGGGTTACCGTCCTTAAATTAACAAAATGTACACGGCGACTATATTTTTAAGTTTTCATGAATAATTTTAGTTTACCACCATGATTGGAAATTATTTCAATTTTTAATCGAAAGTCTAGTTCTATTTGAACTACACGAGGATCACTTTGTAAGGAAAATCGTATTTTCTGACGAGGAGCATTTTTGGCTAGTTACATATATGTAACTTTTATTTATTAATAACTCGCTCTCAAGCTTTGCTCGTGCCCGGCACTCGTCAGACGTTCCAACCTCACTTTCTATAGTCGCGGCCAAATCTGCATGGGTGAACAACATCAACGTCAGCGTTAAGGTCTATTCATACGTGCCCAGTCACAATCTAACGCTCGTGTATTGTTGACTGTTTATAGCGGTTGGGGCTGTTTATTCAGATGAAATTATAACGGCATTTATAATCTTCTACACTAAATAATTAGGAGTTTGTTACGGGCAAATTTTGAACTCAGAAATAAAGGTTTAGTTAGCCCAACTATTATTTGTTTCATTTAACTAAATCTGTTGTTTAAATAGAGCCAACCAAACATTTAGTTATTTTAACAACCGCATTTAGTTATACATGTATTTTACAACTATATAAATAATACATTTGGTTGAATTGACTCAATATAATTTGTTACCCTAACCCTAACGGCTTGCTACAATTTACCCATAGCTTTTGGCGCATTTATATACCTAAGTTAGGTAACCTAACAATAAAAATAAGATCTTGAGATATTTGAAGTGGAAACATTTTTTAAGCCATTTATTCGATTTTCTTATATTCAGTGGTATTATTTCAGAAAATTTAACCTTCACCTCGCTAGAAATAATGTTTTTAGTGCGTTCCACCAACTTAATGTAATTCAATTATTGACAGCTGTTTCCACCTATTTAAGGTCTCTTAAGAATCGAGCAACTTGTAGTGTCACACCAAAGCAAAGGACTACCTGAGCTTATATACACTTCATGTAAGTCAACAGAGGCGAGATTTAAGAACATCACGTGATCCACACCGCCTTTGCCGCGATCGGTACATACTATGCAACCAGGAATGCACGGCAAATTGTTTTATTCGTTTTAACAGAGAGCTTAAGGATGAAGTAACTCTTATTTAAAAAAAAAACATATTTAGTAAACTGAACCACACAGCGGGTTGGTTTTCTGGGTTAATTTAACCTAGTGATGTAGATAGGGTAAATACCCAGTGGGTAGGTAAATAAAATTTGGGTAAATACTGGGTAAATACCCAAATTTTATTTACCTACCCAAAACTGGGTATTTTTGATAAATGCGTTATTATTTATACTTTAAATAATATTAAACCTATTAAACCATATAAACATAAACGTACTAGAATTGTCTCTGAACGCACTTAATCGTGGAAAACCGCTTAATTGTTGAAATGCACGCATAGACCAGGGTCGATAATTTTTGAAACCAAAAAAAATAACAGTAGGATGGAAAAGGAGAAGAGTATAATAAAAATGAAAGGAAAAATAAATTACGGGCGATCTGACTTCGGGAAGTGGGAGGAGGGGTTTTAAGGGTAAAAAATGGTTTATCTCGATTTCCGGCAAAACTACAAGTCCTATGGAAAAAAGTTAAATGGCAAAGTTGTAGGTAATACAGGATCTACAACTTTTGTAATTACAATTTTTTTACATAACCATAAAATTTATATGAAAAATTCAAAAAACCAAGTTTTTGGTTTTTTATTTTTATCCGTTTTTATCTTTTTTTAAAAAAAAAATTTTCCACGAAATTCGGTGAAAACTTACCTTTTTATGTGTATATTTATTATTTCGCCTTATTTTGACTTAATATCAAAAAAGCACCCTAATTTTCAATCGAAAATTCTCGCGTCAAAATATCAGTTTTTTTCAAAAAGTCGGTGTGCTTTTTGTTTGTTGAAATCTCTACTTTCTGATGGTGTAAAAAAATATACATTACTATGGTAAATGTTCTCAGAAAATGCAAAAAATATTATAATGAATAACGAAAAAAACTCGAATTCGAAAATTTATTTTAATCATTATGTACAATTTCATAAAAAAAATGTGATTGTTGCAATTTTTTTTAGTTAAAAAGTTTATTTATTAAATTCTAATAACATTTATGTCAGAAAATCTTATAAAATATAAAAATTGAATTTAGATTCTTCTTTCACCTTGCATACATTTTTGTGAATAATTTGATACATATTTAAAAAAAAATATTGGCATTATAGATAAAACTAAGTTTTAAATAATATTATCTAAGATCTAAAGTAGGTACTACTACAGTATACTTCACTATATTGAATAAAACTATTTATTGATTTCAAGCTATTTTTATGCAAGATTTAAATCGAAATACCCCTATAAATACCCTATTTGGGTAAATACCCGGGTAAATACCCTATTTGGGTAAATACCCGGGTAAATACCTGGGTATTTTACATCACTAATTTAACCAATTTAAAACTATCTGGTTTAGTACCGTCAAACTAATCTTTGTTTATATTAACTTTCCCACAGTTGATTTAAATAAATATGGGTCAACTAAATTAATACAGTTAAATTAACCATTCATTTTTTTCTGTGAATAAATGTGGTTGGAGAGGAAGTTTATTACATCTTTATTACATATGTACATAACAAAAAAAGACTAAAATACTAAATAACCAGTCGTGTTTGTCGTCAGAGCGAACCAGGTCAGACTTGGAGCCTGATTATTTCCCCAAATTTATTATTAAGGGCGCAATGTCTTCGCGTTGCCAACAAGCCTTGTAACATTGTTTGCACAATCCAGGGGTAGAAAATTATAAACACAATGTATAAAATTATTCATAATAATCTGCAACAAATGATGCTTACGGACGAAATGTGAAAATTACAAAAAAAAGTCAAATACCTATATAAACAAACAAAAAATAATTATTAATAAATATTATATTAATTATTATTATCATATTTATATTAAAAAATCGGATACCTCAAATCATTGTGTAATTAAATGATTAAAGTTAAAAATACTACTTCGTAAAGAAAAGGTAATAGTATTTTTAGTTTAATTTCTTCTTACGGGTTTTACCAGTTACGTACTTTTATGCAATTTACGGATTTGCCGTATTTATTTTGTTGCCCAATTTCTGTACGCATAATCTAATTGCTCTAAAAATGTAGTTTATAAGATAACTTAAAAAATGCTGTTAAAATTATAAAATTAATAAAAATTAAAACTTTTTAAAAGATTGCCCACTTTAGATTTAAGCAATTTAAAAAATTATACGTACCAGCCTTGTTAGGTTGATTTCCTAATAGTACGAAAACATAAATATTATTTTTATAAATTTATAAAAAAAATATTAGTCGCGTAACCTGGTGCCCTAATATTTTTTCTGTGTAGTTTTCATGGATTTTCTTGGAACATTTAAAATGGAAAGCTTGTAAAGAAAAAAACAGTTTATATTTTTAAAAGGTTTATTATTATTTATCCCATACTCGTTTCATCTCCTGATCTACCATATGCTAAGAACATAATTTTCTTTGCAAAATATCCAACAATATATTTTAAAAGTCCAAACCAGTCAATATGTGGCTAAAAATTGTACATTTATTTATTTAAGTGTGGCAAGCGTTTAGACACAGTTGACATTTTCATTGTTTTTAATAAATTTTATTTTAAAGTGAAAACAGGTTAGCGAACCTTGTAATTATTTCTTGACACTTAAGTTACATTAAATAGGAGAAATTATTGATTAATATACGCTAGTAAAAAAACAAATAAAATCATTTATAATTGTTAAATTAATTATTCAAAAATTAAATTTCATTCATTGTTTAGTAACTTTTAAACCAAATAATCTTTTATTCAATTTATATACTGTATACTATACATTGTGTAGTATACATATTTTTCTAATGGTAAACAATATATTTTTCAATGTAAGTACAAATTTATTTATTGTCGACTCTTTATATAATTACCTCATAATCAAAATCCTGATGTGAACAGCTTGGAGCAGGAGGCATGGGAGAATAATAGGTTTCATCCCCTCCAACAACTGTGGAAAATATTGGCTTTTTCTTTCTTCGTCTCCTTCTTTTATCCTTTTTTGGCTAAAATTTTGGATAAGGATTTTAAATGATATATATTTAGTTTTAAATACGAAATAAAATATTAGTTAATTAAAGATAAATTACATGGTTAGTAATAAGTATAAAATATAAAAAATATATACAATAGACTAAAAATAATAATTGTTTTAATGTGATGCTGATTTGTTTCCTGATGATGATGTAAATAGGGATGTTATAAGGGAGAAAACTGCTTTAAATATTTGAAACTTGGAGCCACCCTTAAAATATAAAAAGAAATGAGTTGTATTTGCATTATCAATTACTATTTACTCCATTGTTTCCTCCTCCTCCACCACCACCACTGCTATTGCTGCTTCCTCCACTTATTCCTGAACTGCTATTGCTTAAGCCTCCACTTCCTGCGAAAACTCCCTGAAGAAGACCTCCAAGAAATCCACCGGAATCCAGACCACCTGCTTGAGGTGAATCTGCATCTTCAGAGGGTGGCTGATAAAAAATAAATATTTAAAATATTGTTAATATAAAGAAACACGGCATAACTTTTTATTTGTTTTGCTTAGAGTTTTGTTTTTGGAATAGTCGAATTATTTTTAAAATGTTTTTGAAATTTTACTTACTACTGGTTATACAATCCTACCGTCCTGATTAAGAAAATAGGTACCTGCCTATCCATATTTTTATGTAAATTGAGTTTTTTATATCTTTTAATTGGTCTTAAAACTATTGTCCAAATATTTATAAAAGTAGTACATTATCTAACAGGCCGAGAAAGCGCTTCTTTATAGCCGATCTCAGTGTTCACTGCCGAGGCTGCAGATATAAGCGAGGAAGTTAATATACTTCCTCCGCCGTGTTGTATATACCATTTTTTAACGTTTAATAATTTTGTACGTACACTACAATGATGAAAAAACTCGATGTTATTCGCGCCTCTGCAGAGCCTAACAGAGTTGTGCCCTATTTCAATACTACAGCTGCTGCAGCTGAGCTGCATGGATACCTTAATTTTTAAACATTTTTTTTACTATCCAATATGTTGGTGCACTTGTTAAAGCAACGTTGCAATGTTTCAACAGTATCGCGTGTAACCAATGAAAATTTAGACTGATGGAAGCAGGTTTGATTTAGTCCAAAAACGGCTTTTTATATAAAAAATTACAGAGATTATCTGAACAGCCTTTGGTTTTGTTTCTCGGTTAGACTTAAATTGTATATCTTCTTCAGTACAGCAGAATTGTTTTATTATATACCTGGAAATGATCCTTAAAATTTACCAGTTTGATTTTTACAAAATGGAAGGAAAAAATAAGCATTCAGAACAAAAAATGATGTATGTCATCCTTAATTGTCTAGTATATAGACTCATTAAGATCAACGTTTAAAATGACAATATTAAATGATAAGAATATTAAAAAAAAAACACTTTTAAAAAAATTACTGCCAATTACGAATTGCGAATATTGTTCTTATTGGTCCATTTGATTTGACGGGAAAAGATTTAAAATCTAGTAGGCGGGAATCTTGCGGAAGTTCTAAATTTTTGCGAAAATTGCCCGAATTTGGCTTAAAATTCTTCATACATAATAATAATAAAATACAAAATTAAATACTTCACATGTTAGGTTACCCACGTAAAAATGTAAGATATCGCCTAGTAAGAAATTAAAGTCCCTAAAATAGACGTAATTCGTAAAGCTCAATTTGCATTCACACACAAGGTTTAATCTGCAATTAATAATTGCCAATTATATAAGTGTAAATTTAACTAAAAAGTTTGTATTTTCTAAATTAATAAAATAATCTACATATTTCAAGAATTTGTTTACGCGTACAATTTATGTTTGAATGCAGCTGGTAACCATACTTTTTTGTTTGCAATATGTACACAGGATGTTTACCAAACTATTTGTATTTTGTGCATTTTGTGCAATTTGGTGCAATTTCTTCATAATAAATATTTACCGGACCACTCAAGGACGGAAGAAGGTTTCCAACCAATCTCCCAGTGAAAAGCCCCACGCCTTTCTAAAAATGTAAAAATAAATGTTAATTGAATTAATGTCGCAATCAAATAAATATAAAAATTACAAGAAAAAATTATAACTGTAAAAAGGATTAAAATAAAATTAAACTTGTTTTATTTCATTATAATTTTTAATGGGGAAAAACCATAACAAACTGATAATAAAACAAATAAAATATTTAATAAATAAAAAATTTAATGTACAACAAAACAAATTACCAGGTAAAATTTTCGACGAAGCATGTTTTTCCTCATTAATTAATTATGGTAACTTCCTGTCAACTTGGATATTGTGTATTTGTCGATTTCCGCGCGTATTATGCATTTCTCGATAAAAAGATTTCTGTAGAAAATTGAAAAAAATACTTATTGCTAATAATTGGCAAAAAGTGCCGAACGTTTCTTTAAATTTAAGGCAATATTGTGAAAAAAATATTTATTCCTTATAATAATTAAAAAGTGTGAAATTTTTTTTTTCAATTTAAAACGTGATCTAAAGTCGTAAAATAATAATTTATACAAAAACAGTTGGGAATTGGGCCTCTACAACTTTGCCACTAATTTTTACTAAAAATTGTCCATAGGTTAAAAATACTGCGCTACTTTCCTAATTTTCCACATTTTTTTACTTTATAATTAGCAATACATATTTTTAAATAATATTAATATTGACTACACTTTTAAATATTAAACCAGACATTTTTAAAATGGGTCCTGTGAACCTAATAACAATAAAATAATTATTGACGTACAAACATACCATCATTTAGAAACATTTTTTAGTTAGAGTTCATAACTAAGTCTTAACCAAAATTAGAACAACAAATGACCCATGATCTATTCTTACAAGATATCTTTTGTAAATTTGGTTCTTCAAAAGGAGGCAGTTTTTACAAAAGTATCTTCAACGGCAATAAACATTTTCACTTAAGTGTTTACTTGAACAATTAAAATTGATCCATTTGAAGCAATAATGTTAATGAAGACGAACAAACCAATTAATTTATTGTGTAAATATTTAAGATGAAAAAAATGGGAAGTTAGGGCCACAAAAAGATAAAGTAAAGTTACATATATGCGATTATTATTTTGAGTTATATTTAAAGGTACGCATGTAAAAATCCAGTAAATTTATAATAATTTCAAAATGACATCTATTTAATTTTAAAATTTTTGAAAACGTTTTTAGAGCATTTATATATACCAAGCTAACATTTAAAAAATGTTATGTAGGAATTATTAAAGAGGAAGGTAATAAAAATCATGCCATAATAAAAAAAACATTAAAACTAATTAGAGGTTAAAATTGGAGACAATAACATCTGTCCTCCCAAAATACTCTTTCATGAGGAGAGGCAATTTATTGTATTTTGTTTAGTTTTTTCTGTCATAGAAATAAAGTATGTTTTGTTGTTGATTTTAATAAAATGTGTGATTTTCCAAAAAAATCAAATGTGGTTTTATCCAAGAACCGGAAAAACAAAAAAAAATTATTTAGTATTTTGGTTTTTCTACTCTCTTAAAATGAATTAGTCAAAAATATCTAATTATAAGTCATAATTGACTAATTGTCATAGCGAAAAAGCATTCACTAATAATTAGTCAAATTCTTCTGAATGAAATAGTCAAATTAGTAGATTTAAATTTAAAAAAGTTTTGACCCAGCCGGGGATTGAACTCAGGTCTGTCGCTTGTCAAGCTGTTGTCATAACGAATGTGGCTATCAGTCACAATTATAAAAATCAATTTTATTTGTCAATAAATATTGTTCATAATATTTTAAAGTTGAATATATTATTTGTGTTGCTGTTTTGAGATAAACTTTTTGCATCTTTGTATGTTTTTATGGGCCATTTAACCATGGAGCCTATATGCATTTAATTCAAATAATACTTTCTTGTTGGCCGCAAATGATGTAAGAAATTTGTTACTTTTAACTCTCAGAAATAGTTAAAGATGGAGACTAACTTTAACTATTTACGTAGTAAAAAATAACTATTTAAAAGTGAAAACGACTATTTTATTAGTAAAAAATGCTGGTACTAATTCAAATAGTAGAATTTTGACTATTTCATTTTAAGTAAGTAAATTTAAAGAGCTATATAAAATAAACTGCTCGTCATAAATATCGACGCACCTATAGTGAAAACTATAGTTTTCACAAAATCACGAGCGATTACCTAACTGCCCTGTGAATGGGGATTTGGAATTTTGGAAAAAAATATCTCTTTTTTAAACACCCTGTAGTATAATGCTATGTGCACAATATCGTATTCTCAAAATTAGACGTAGGTCAAAAAATCCACTATTGCTCATTTTTTGGACTAAACTGGGAAATAATGACAATTTTCGATAAATTGGCATATAATATCGTAGTAAGCCGCGATATTCACAAAATCTCGAAAACGTTTCGAGGGATTACCTTACTAATATTAGGGAGGGGTATTACGACTATCAAACTCAACTGCCTCATGAATGGGAATAACTTGAAATTTCGGAAAAAATACATCTCTTCGTTTAACACCCTGTAGTATAATGCTATGTACAAAATATAGTATTCCCAAAATTAGACATAAGAGTCAAATTATCAGCTATTAAGAATTTCCAAAGATTTTCAAAATAGATTCAGTAAACTTCCAATAACGAGCTTTCAAATATTTTCCAAAAAACTAGGTGCGTCGATTTTTATGACGAGCAGTTTAGTTCATATTTACTTTGTAATTAATATATTATATATGATTATTTTTTAAAAGGAACTACGCCAAAAATTGACGTTCTTAAACTATAAAATACTAATTATTAATACTTACAGCTCCACCTGGGGGGTTTTGGGCACTTCCTTTTAGTACAGCTCCCACTAAACCACCAAGAAATCCTGCTATATCAGATCCCCCTCCTCCATCTTCACCACCCTAATTTTATAAAATTTGATTAATAAAATGTGAAAATTATTATTAATTAAATATATAAATATATGTATTTATCACCTAATAAAAATTTATTTAAAGTATTTTGTTACATGCTTGCAAAACAAATTAATACATTTAATAATGTAACAAATAATTACATATATAAATAAAAATTTCACCATACCTTCTAATATTAAAAAACGACCTAATATTGCAATGTTACATCAATATTATCATTAAAGGGTTATATAACATGCCAAAATAAATTATTTATTATAGGTAACATTAAAATGATCAGTTTTGTCGATGATATTTTAGGTTACATAACATTAAAATAAATGTTCTTGCTACATTTAATTCTTACCCCGAAAAATCCCATTAGAAGTTCAGTGAGGCCACTAAAATCGTAGGATCCATCTGTGTTTTGCTAAAAAAAATTAAAGATAATGTAATACTAACAATTAGTGTCAATTCACTTACAGTACTTAAACTTCCTAGTAAACTCGTTATAGCTTCTAAATCTATGCTACCGTCGGGCTAAAAATATTTTTAAATTAAAAAGTATTCTTATATTAAAAAAAAACTCTTACTTTACTTAAACTTCCCAATAAAGATCCCAACAATCCAGTAACCATATTTCCTTCTTCCTCACTACTATCATCTACCTGTTCCTCCTTTTCTAAATCTTTATTATCACCTTCCTTACTTTTATTTTCGTCTTCCTTTGTACCATTATCAACATCATTATTATCGTCGTCATCTTTATTGTCTTGGACTTTTTGCCTAGTAACTCTGCTTGTATCGTTTAAAAAAGTGGAGTTTGTTTCTTCGATTTTAAAATTGTTTGATAATGTTAAGTTTTTGTGAGTTTGATTTTGTAATGGTATAATGGTTATATTTATAGATGCGGGTGTGTTTTGAATGTCGGAAGAAGAAAGAGTTGTAAAATTAGATTCTATTGAGTTATCCTAAAGAATGGAAATGATTTATATACACTTCATCTGTACATAGAAATACAACAAATAAAATATTTCGTACTGGAAAATGTCATGAGTTTCTTTTATATCTAACTTTTCAGAAGGACAAAATCATGTTTTAATACATACGACATGCAGTATAAAAGACGATTTCTAAATTACAAAAGTTTGATGTTAAATAAAAGTTTAATAAACTAAAAACCCTAATTGATAAGCTTTTTGTTCGAAGTTTGTTATGTTTTTGCTTATTGCTTTTAAGTTTATTATTTATTTTAGGTAGATGAACCTTTAAATCAATAGCAAAGTTATCTTGGTCTTTAAAAAAAGTAATCACGACCAAAATAGGACAGTGTATTTAAATATAAAAATTGTACTTTTGTATAAACCCATTAAGGCATTTATTAAATGTAAACCACAACCGACTTTTACTTGATTCGTTGAACCCTTTAGATCCTGTTATGATATCGTAAAGCTTTTTCTCGATAAAAACTAAAAGTAAAGGTACTTTGAAGGTCTTATAGTTCGCATGCGAATGCAATAAGTTGCAAAAAACTATTGAAACAAAGACTAATTGTTACAGTCATGGTCGGTTAAAATTTAAATATTAATATAATAGATATTATATTAGAAATTACGGTGGCCGTTTATTAAACCTAATTGCTTCGTAATCGTTAATAATACACTGGTTTTGTGGATTTTTATGGAAATTCAAGTTTCCCATTGACTCATTTAATGAGCAAACTAAGACACTAATTACTATGCTACATTGAAAGGATACTTGGAAAAATATAAACGGAAATTAACTATTTCTATCGGTGTATTAGGACATAGGAACTTTAACTAAAATTACTGAAACTTACGGACTACCTTTAATTGCATCTTAAGTTTGTAACCAATAGATTAATTAGACCGGTAATGTGGTTTTTGTTTTTTAGAATTTAATATATGGGCTTATATAAATTTTTTACTACCAATAGTATGCAAATAATAGTGATTAAATACAGGGGTTTTCGCGTATTTATAAAAAACATTTTAAAACCAAAGGGTTATAAATAATTCAATGTAATGTTTGAAACATAAAAAATTAGGAAATTAGTAGAACATTTCAAAATTTTTACAAAACTCTTCATTTACAACGCATATACAATAAGATGACCTTCAATAATCAATGATATCCGAAACCATTAAAAGGCATTAAAAAGCCGAAGGTAAGTCAGTCACTTATTGCAAAATTCAGGATACCGTAATATTTAAATGAATTTTTCTTATTATTTACACAGTTAATTGGTTAGTATAATTATTTTTTAATAGAATTAATTTGCGTTATGTAAGATGAAAAAAATGATAGCAAACTTCCTGGGTACTTACTCTAAAGGCAGAGTTAAAAATTTGTAAACCTTCGTCCGCACCCTATAAATAAAGATAATATAATTATTTTGATAAAAAAATATTTTGCCTTTTTTTCATAAAATCTGACAAGTACAAATTTTATTAAAGCCCTACTATGGAGAAAGGAAGTAACTGCTAAACAAGAAGTTTGTAGGAAATTGGCACAAACTACAATTTTATAAAAAGCAGTATGTATTTAATTGATTTTTTTAACTTTAAGAGAGAGTTTACTTTATTTATGTGCTGAATTCTGATACAAAACGTCCATAGCTTTACCGTAGCACAAGAAAAAAAGAGCTAATGATACTTCGTCTTTAGTCTTTGCCATTCGCTCTTTTCTTGAACTAAACTGCGCACCACTCAATGTGTCTCGACCAAAAAGTTCGTTCTTTTTCAGAACGACATAACTTTTTTGTTTCTTGAACGATTTTATTTTGGTCTGTGATGTCTCCTAACCCCATCCTCTGGCTTTGAAATAATGAAGTATTATGTCTTACCTTGAAAAGTTTTCAAATTTTTCGAATTGGAATCGTAACAACGAAAATATGATTTTTTTTCAAAAGAGTACATTTAAGGCTTTTTTGTAGGAAATTTAACAGCCGGGAATTGTTTTCGAATTTTGATTCTTAGTGATTTTGGTTTATTCTGAAACTTAAATTTGACAACTGATTTACAATCAGGTCAAAATTATAGAGAAATACTGTCACAAACGTAAATATCGGTTCAGGATTAGTTTTCGCAAATTTTCACCAAAATATCATTTTGAAAAAGTGGTCTTTGCTTAGGCCCCTCTGAAAACAATGGAAGTTTGTTGCTTTTCGCTTGTTCAGAATTATTCAAGGAACAATCTTTCACCATCTTATCTCCTTGTTCTTAAAAAGACTGAGTGTATTGCCTACCAAAAAGCCTAAAATGTACTCTTTCTAAAAAAAAATCATATTTTCTTTGCCAAGATTCCAATACGAAAAAATTGGAAACCTTTTCAAGGTAAGACATAATACTTCATTATTTCAAAGTAAAAACGAAAAAAAAATATTTTTTTACAAACGGGGCTTGGATGAAGTTATTGAAATTTTTAACCTTTTTACATATCACCCTGTACGAAATTTACTTGAAGAACTGTGAGCTTCATATCTATAGCATGGATTGCCAGAGGATGGCGCTAGCAGAAATCACACTAAAATAAAATCGTTCAAGAAACAAAAAAGTTATGTCGTTTTAAAAAAGAAACGATCTTTTTGGTCGCGACACATTGAGTGGTGCGCAGTTTATTTGGATATAAAGATATAAAAGATTCACAATAACTGATGGACCCTTGAATGGAATCAATTTTATATAATTTTTATGCAAATACGCAGAAGTTCGACTTCCTGATACTGAACATCAGCGGTTCTGCTTAACTAACAATTCCAAGTGTTATATGCTTCCTGTAAATACTATTGGAGGAATGCCCAAATGCAAAATGATATACTGGGCATTGCTTTCGCCGTTGTTGCGCAACACTCTTAGCTGATTCAGGGGCAGATATTACATTACTCAAGAGACATGGGGGTTGGCGTTCGAGTTCTGTTTCGGAAAGTAACATAGGAAATTCTATTAAAGGTAAGAACGAAGTTTCAAGAAACATTTTCGGAAATAAAGAAACTGTATTAAAAAAACAAAACTTTGTAAAATAAAATGAAAAAAAGCGACCTAAGGTGGCATCAACCACCGATTCCACTTCCATTAAAGTTAATCCAAAAGGAAATCTGCACACATAAAATGTTTAGTTTAGTAACTTAAATAATTGTGTTTTTAATGTTTAAGTACCACAAACTATATTATTTAGACTGTTTTTTGGACATTTTATTAGTATACGAGGGGTGTTCAGAAAATAACGGGAATTGTTAAATTTCGCGGGTTCGGAGGGTCCGGTTATCATAAAATTTTCTTTATTATGTTGGTATACATGCCCCCAAAGTATTATAAAAAGTTTAGCTGTTTACATTGCTTACTTTGTCTGTGGCAGCCGCTAAGATTAGGCGTGTTTTATGAGCTCGGCGATTTTTCGTTCGTTAAAAGAAATGGATCAAAGAATTTGTACCCAATTTTGCTTAAAAAATGAAATAAATTCTGTGAAATGTTAACAAAGGTCTAGAGTGAGTCTGCTATAAGTAAAACAAGGGTTTACAAGTGGTATAAGAGTTTCCAAGATGGCCGTGAAGACGTTGAAGATGACGAACGCCCCGAACGCACACGCACATTAACAACCGATAAAAACATGGAAAAAGTAAAAGAAATGGTTATAAACCATCAGAGAATTCGCTGATGATGTTGGTATATCGATTAGCTCATCCCATGAAATTTTTTCGAATGTTTTGATTGGTTCAAAAAATTGTTAAATTTTGGCCAAAAACAATACTGTAATGATGCCCCAGCAACCATATTCGCCAGACATGCCTCTGTCTGACTTTTTTCTATTCCCAAAAATAAAGAGAACCTTAAAGGGCCGTCGTTTTGTAAGCATAGATGACATTAAAAGCGCATCGCTGAAAGAACTAAAGGCTATCCCAACGATCGAGTTTTAGAAGTGTTTCGAGTATGGCACATGTGCATAATATCCAATGGGGACTATTTTGAAGGCGACAACATTAATGTAGACGAATAAATAAATATTTGTTTCAAAAACCGAAAATTTCCGATATTTTCTGAACACATCTCGTATTATGTATAACGATAGTTTTAAGTAAGCTATAACACAGAAGTTGGAAATTTTCGAGTTTAAATTTTTATCATCACTACATTTGATTTTGAATTACCTAATTACAGTTTACCACTTAGTTTTTTATTTAAAAAGTGCGTCCATACTATGTCGAATCGATATCCAATTAAAATCTAATCAAAATCAAATAGAGATTGAATCAAATTATGTCGTTCATCCAAATTTTTAAGTTTATCAATGTTTGGTTATGTTCCAGTTAGTCTATATGACAGTTAAATTCCATTTCGATTGATGTGAGAACATTGGTATCCATGTAAATTATCTTCCAGATACCTAACTAACTGCAACTTTAACCAGTCATTGATAAACCGGCCCTTAGTCGATAACATTTGTCATAAATTGGATGAAGCAGATGCCTTATAATGCTGGACCTAAAAACGATCAGTATGGCCTACACTAAGAAACCCTTATTTTATATATATATATATATAAATATATATATATATATATATATATTATAGTATATTATTATATGATAAAATGTTAATATTTCCCTAAAGTTTTTTAAACACTTCTTTATCATATATTTTGTCTTTATCCAAACTTTATTAGGTATTTTAAATTTCAAATTTACTTACCTCCTTTAGAAAATATGCGGTATCAGTCAAACTTTCAAAAAAATCATGTGGGGCGGATTTTCCTTCACTGGTACCGTTAACAGTAAGATTATGTTTCTTAAAAACGATTTCTTCCATACTGTTAATCCTGTTATTATTTGTTGAGTATTGAAACTTGGGCAAATCTCCAAATTTAGGCAGATAATTTTCAAAATCCTAAAAATAAGTTAATTTTACCTTTTTAAAAAATGTAAATATGAGATTTACGTCAAAATGATGCCCTTCGGCTATTTTTTGTATCCAATTCAGCGGTAATCCACAAACCAAAATTAAATTAAGATATAAAATTAAAAATGTATAACACGACATTATGTTATAGTTCGTCAGCACCTTAATAGAACTGCCTTAACGTTTTTGCTAAAATTTAACTGTTTTTAAACAAAACATGTTTACTTGTTAGTGCCTATGACAAAACTGACCACTTTTTGATAAACCAACGACATTTTTTACGATTGTGTCACATAAAATAAATAATATATATTTATAATAATTTCCTTTCTTGTAAACTACTCTTTATCAATAGCCGATCAGTGTATTACTTCATGTAAAACAATACACAATTATTTGTTTTGATTTTTTTGCACGATTGTAGCATTGACGAGTAATAATATGTTATTCGGTACTTTATTTGTAATTTAGAATTGGAAAGTTATTGTAAAACTAACTTAAACCAAAATTAATTGTTTGGTAATATCTTTATAAGCATGGATATCACTTTTATTTACATGGTTTGTTCTATATAATTTAATTTAACACTAACAATAAAAGTAAAGTATATGATTAAAACTTGTTGCATAATTTGCATAATTTGATTAACATGCTAAAATATAATTATGGACCTTTAAATATTATGTACATTATTAATTAATTAGGTTTTGTTTTCCTTGCATTATGTTCAGAAGTTGAAAATTAATAAACACTTAAGGAGGTTCGGGCAAGATATTAGTTCCTATGAAAAAAGTTTTAGAAAGATTGAGCGTCTGGTTTCCCACTAAAAAATTATTAAAGTTTCTAAGACTACATGGACTGTTCGTTTTAATATTGCTTAACTTATTATTATTATTATTAACGATAATGTTAACTGTATCCAACAAAAAATATCAATCTGTCATTCTTCAAAAATTATTGTTATATTCAAAAATCTGAATACGTGTTTCAATATTGTTGTTTGCATTAAGTAACAATTTTCACTTTATAAGAAGATTAAAACAAAATTGGAATCCAAACTACCCAATTCTGCACTTAACTTATTTTTATGCTAAAATTCACTTGTACCCTTTTGCTTCTCACCCCTTAAATATTAATTTATTTTTTAATAATTTTTTTATTAATTAGACAATCCTTCCATCTTGTATGGTTTTTCTTCTTTTCGTTTATTGCTCTTCTCTTTAGACTTTCGCTGCATTCAACATACTTCATGTTTTCTGTTGCTTTATTTTTTGTTTCAATATTTTTTTATTGTAGTGGACTTCATTCGTTTTCACAACTTATTTTTAGACTTTAAATAACATTGCATATAGAACTGTCACTGCCACTGTCAATGTCGCGTTTAAATCCTATTTTTTAAGTTTTTTAATTTACGTTTTTGTGTTAGAATGCATATGTATATAGTGCCTTTTGTATTAAAATAAAAAAACAATTATAAAATCAGTTGGTTTTTAAATAAAATGTAATAAAATGGCAAAATAAAAGTTGATACCTATCGCTATTTATGCATTTCAAAGTTATTAAGCTTTTTATTTTTAAGTGAGAACATCCTTAAATTAGGTACGTACTATGCTTCACACCTCAAAGTCCCACCACGTGACCACGTACGGAACGCAGTCTTTTGAAAATTTGGCATTTAAGGCTTTTCAGGTTATGTATCTGTCAAAGTATAGTCAATGAAAGAAATAATATTTATAGTGTTACCGCTTATGTTTAAGCGTTAAAAGTTAATAAATCTTTATAGTATCACAATAACAATAGTTGGTTTAAGAATTTAGGAATATAAAAACTGCATTTAATGAAATTCCACACTTTAAGCTAGATAAGAAAAACTACCACATTTTTAAATACCATATTATATAGTTTTTTAAAAAATCCAAAATACTTATTTATTTTTGTCAAAACAAATTTTTCTAACCTTAAAATTACAAAATTAGATGATATTTTTGTTATAATATATTAACCTACCTTTAAAACAGATATTCTTATTCCATAATAGAGAAGCTAGATTTTTTTTAATAAATGCTGTTTAGTTAAAATTATTTTATGGAGTAAACCAGATATTTGGACCAAATGCACAAAAATATTACTTATTTGGCACCATACACTTTAGAATTTCATTAAATGCAGTATTTATATTCTTAAACCATCCATTGTTATTGTAATGTTATAAAGATTTATAATTTATATTTTAACGCCTAAACATAATATTATTTCTTTAGTTGACTATACTTTGACAGATACATAACCTGAAAAGCCTTAAATGTCAATTTTTCAAAAGACTGCGTTCCGTACGTGGTCACGTGGTGGGACTTTGAGGTGTGGAGCATAGTACTTTAGGAAAATCAGTACTGGAAATTGTATACAATTGTATTTAACAAGATTTAATAAATTTTAAGTCACCGGAATTAAAAAGATCGATAGTTAAGTGGTGAACAGTGGGTAAAACCCATCTAGAGTTATAAAGAACCTAAAATAGAAATATAATAAAATGAATACTATTAATTAGCGTGGTCCACCATATTTTAATAGGTTTACAATGCCGCACAATGATTTAAAAAACGTAACATCATTGCAAATTTTTAACAAAAAACTATATATTATTCACCTTCAATGAGTACCTACATTAAAATTTGCATATTTTGAAACAAATTTGCTAAAATATTGCACTTATTAACCATCAGGTTTTGAAATACAGTTAAAGTGGTGTTATTAAAAACGTAAGACAGGTTAAAAGTCATTAAGGAAGGCCTATTTATTACGCAGTTTTTGTGCAGTTATATAACAAATATTACACATAGAAAAATGTCAATTACATTATTATCTTGCACTCAAATTTGCATACCTATTGTAAATGTTTTTAAATTGTTAAAATAATAGTAATTGTATTTGGCATAGTTTATTTATTAAGACCTACTCATTGTAAAAACATATCTGGATTATTACATCTAAACATTTTCAAGTTAAAAATATCTAATATTATTTTAGAACATTTAAATTAAGATCTTTAGACATAAAAAATACATGTATTATATTGTATAATTTTCAGAATATAAGACGAAATTTTCGTTAAACTGACAGATAGACTTTATTATTTATTATTTGCATTCAAATGTTCAAGTGCGGTTTTTGGGTATGGAGCATAGTACATTAGGTACCAAAACTAAAACTAAAAAAATAAAATTTTAGATACCTATTTATTATTTCTATTATTTTTTATAATTGAACGAAAGACATTGAAAAGATAATATTAATAGGTTACGCAATACTTTTGTTTTAGGCTTATGATTTTCTTATGTTGATTATAAACAAATGATATAGTTTTAATTTAATAGCTTATTCGAAAAAATACTTTTTTCACTCCTATTACAGAATATGACCATTTTAATATCACTTTTTAATGTGGAATTGCCTACATTCTATAATGTCACAGCATATTCATTATATAACCGTTTTTAGTGTGAGAATAATTTGGACCAATCGGGTTGGGTTAGTCCAAAATCATTATAATCGCCTGTCATATGAAATATAACATCTGTTAAACAGGTTTAACCTTACTTATTTATTTATAGACGAGAATGCACTATGTTCATTTCTACACTGTTCAAAATTTCATGACCATTTTAACCCAAATTAACACCATATATGGTCTATATCGATACAAACCAAAATGGTGTTAAATAGGGTTCGTTGTTCCGGTGTAAATTCAAATACTAAAATAATGTTAATTTAACTTTCACACAGTATTAAAATAAATTGTACCTGGTGTAAATTAAACTCCTTTTCAGTGTTAAATATTATGTGTTTGTGGTCAAATTAAATCATACTACACAGAAAAAAGGAAAAAAACGAAACAGGAAGTTCCTTACGCATTACTAGTATATTACCAGTGGTATTATTCCAGTTCGTTCCACTAACTTAAAATACTTCAAGTATTGACAGCTGTTTCCACCTATTTAAGGTCTAGTATCGAACAACTTGTAGTGTCACACCAAAGCAAAGGACTACCTGAGCTTATATATTCTTCATGTAAGTCAACAAATACGAGATTTAAGAACATCACGTGATCCATAAAAAATTAAATACTTATGGGTCAACTAAATTAATATAGTTAAATGAACTATTCCTTTTTTTCTGTGTAGGTGCACTTCTCAAATATTTTTAGATAAACACCGTTTTGGTGTTCATTTTCAACCATAATTCATGGACCATGAATCATGGTGTTATATTAACACCACCTGGTGTTGGATCTTTACACCACAGATATTTTAAACAGTGTAAGGCTTACGACCACTTAACTGTGAAACATCTGCATTCTGGACAAGAATGTCCAAGAGACACCCTTCCAGGTATAGTGCCTGATTAGATTATACGGAGTCATAACTTTATTACTCCTTATTATGTATGGATAAATGGATACTCAAATACCTCGTCTAATATAGCTATATTCGCAGATGGATCCAAAACCAACTCAGGCAAGGCTCTGGAGCGGGAGTATATTGTCAAAATCCATCCATAAGTCTTAGAATATTATGGGGTACCTTATACGACCAAATTCCAGTGTGAGGTCATGGCTATATAAAAAAAGGACAAACAATAAGAATACTCTCAGACAAAGGGCATCCTTACTGGCCTTGAGCCGCAATATGGTTGACTCTAAAGCTCTAAAGATAACAATAAACTTGGTCCTTAAACTTGTAAGGATTTAAGAACACAATGGTAATAAAGAAAATAAAAGGGCTGATGAATTTGCAAAACAGATACTTTTAAAAGTAACTTAGATACCTTAACTTAGATACGTTTCAGTGTAACTTAGATACTTTCTTAGAGAAAATTGGGGGAATTCCAAAATGATTCAAAGAAATTAAAAA